CACCCTCTTATACAGAAGCCCCCTACAATTTTTCGATCAGTCGAATATCCCGATTCATAGTGTTCGCATGTAACGCGTAAGACTTATATACTCGCCGTTAAATGAGAATTCGTTAATTTGCGAAGAAGGATTGTGTAAAATCCAAGTGAGTTTACGTGATAGCGATGATCCGCGACGGTCAGGTGAAAAGTTTTCAAGGACAAACTCTTAGCAAAAAGAGTGTCGGTCCAAGAACCTACTTGTCTTGGCTTTGCGTACTTACCTACGCCGGAACGTAATCGCGGAGTATAAGATAGCGATCCAAATAGACAAAGACAGATAATCGGTTCTTACGACTCTCTCCTACTCTCCTTCCAGGAGGGTTTTCTTGGCCGGGCGAAACGGAGACGGAGAGCTGCCCCACTCTCTTTCTCTCATCCCTTACGACGCTTACCCCCGTACGAGGCGTCGGCGGAGTCGGTGGCGGAGAATCCCCCACCCACCTGGGCGCGGGGTGAAGGGTGAGGAGAGTTTGAGGAAAAGGGGGAGATAGAGCGCGCGCCTCGGCATCGTGTCTGGTGGGGGCAAAGGAAAAGAGGGGTAGCTTGAAAACTCCTGTCCTACGACGGCCTCAGTTTTTCGTCCTCCCGGAGGTAGATTTTCGTCGTGGGTGGACGCGGCCGGGGTCACGAGTCGGTCCACGGTAACCTGGGCCCGCGCCCGGGCCCGTCGGACCCGCGTACGAAATCGCCACGATAAGAAACGGCGTACGACGAAGGCGCCCCGAGGTGGCCAGAAATTTCGCGGCCGCGCACCACCTAAGACAACGCCCCTACCCGAACACGCGTTCTTTAAGGCACGAGGGGGTGGCTTTTAGTCAGACGCACGCGGTCTGAGAAGCGCGCCACCACCGACCCCCGACGGAGAAGGACTTAGCGTTTCTCGCGAGCCGCAGACCCGAGTCAGTTTCGGTTCCTCCTCCGTCAAGGACTCGAACGCGGAAGAGGAGAGAGCTTTTTCCCCCCGTCGTACGTCGTCGTAGTCATCGTCGTCTTCGTCGTCGTTGTCGTTACCGTCGTCGTCCTTCGAAGAGGAAGAACAGTGTCTTGGCCGATACCGTGCACGAAGGTCGCGAGCAGTCGGACCGAAGTGCAACGTATTACGCGTACTACCGACTATCACCAGCCGCCGCATCTATCGCACTTGAATCTCTCCAGTAAGAGATACTTCGGATTCTTTCTCTCGGAATATTCTGTTCAACCAATCTTGTGTCGCGAGTTGTGTGAACATAACGACACTTTGCGACATCGTGCATCTAGACCTGATTAATATAGAACCCAATCATCAACGCTTTTATTATTTTTATTTTCTTCTTTTTCTACTTTCGTATGATTTTAGTCAATTTTCCCCACTTTCGGTCCGAGACCACCATACTGACCCACCCCCTCCTATTCCCTGTTCTGAATCCTGACATGCCCGGTACGTCATCGTCGCCGTCTCGACAGTGTTTCGTCGCGATCGCACACGCTCCGATCCCCTCTCGATTTCCGGTGTGATATGATGTGCTTCGGTAAGATCATGAGGAAGCGAATGATGAGAAGGCGGACTAAGGAAAGGAAACTCAATCGCCGCTATCTCGAAACCTCGTCGAAATCGGTCACGCAAATCATTAGCTTGATACTTGCGGTCGCGGAATTACACGGCGAACAATAAACGTAACGAATCGTCATGTCGCAAGTAAACGAGTTAGCAATTATGCGAATATCCGTGCGCGTGATCATTTCGGGCTGTTAATTTAGCGAGCAGCCGACAATGCTCGTCACGTCGCGTAAACCTGGCATACGTTGCAACAAATTATTTGGCATTTCATTGACATCATCGTCAACATGTCGACCCTATTCATCGTTCAGTGACAGACAATCTTTACGAAAAAATCTGACTGCATATTCGAAATTAATCGGAAAAGTAACAATATAATTCGGGAAATAACGGCAAAAATATAAATTCTCAATTTAACGAAGAAGCGAAAACTTGTAAAAAAAAAAAGATCGCGAACGCAATTCTATGTGTGAGCGGCAGTGTCATAATGTTACATCGCGTTATTCGTAGTATTACATTAATGTAAATCACAACTTTACATTTCCGAGAATATTCAGTGCTCCGGAAAATTTTATTTTTATCCTATTCACTGTAGTCTGATTTATTGCTCATTGTTATATTGGCATTACTTTTATTTGAATAAATATTTGATTTATCGACATGTTACTCTCTTTCAGTTATAAACCTTTTCAGTTTTTCGTACCGATCCTGAATTTTTACATTACGTGTCCCGCATCTTTTCCGCATTGTCAGCATGCTGAGCACCACGCGACGGCAAAAGACGTTCACGCTTTTTGCTTTCGCGCTTGTAAACCAATTGATTTTTCTAAAATATAAAACTAATTGGAAATTCCGCGTCAACGACACTCGGTGTAACTAAAAGGAGGGTATGAATTTGTGTAAAATTAAATTATTGACGTGAAAACTTGGTGTGTTAAATGGACGAAATTTACTATGCCACGTAATTAGTGCGTGCTTCTGACAGTGCTGATTGAAATTATTGTTTGTGTCGCGGCCAAAAGTGTAAACCCTTCATAAATGTCAGCCAAAAGAGAATCGCATTTAACGTTACCTCACTATAAGATGATAAAATCTCGCGGCTGATATCTTTCTGATATCGCGAAATTTTATTAGGATTCTTCTAACTCGATTCACGTCGCATTACTCGGCACTCGATATTTTCGTGTTACGACAGCTGATTTTAGGCAGTATCATCTAGCAAAAATCAATGTTTTAAATAACGTTACGCTCACGTACCGGGAATTAGTCAAGACTTTATGTCTTAATATTATTGGATTTATAATCAGATCTTATAATTAATATTATCAAAAGTCATAGTAAATTGTGACAACCTTCGATCAAATACTTTTAAAAATGTACGTCTGATTGACGTTTAAATACACTCTACCAATTGCGAACAAAGACGTGTAAAACTCTTGCCTATGACATTAAAAAAAATTATAGTGTTGATGTTGAATGTTCGTCGTGCGTGACGTCGGACAACGCAAAAATTGTACTTTCTTTTTCTGGATTGCAGCTTCGAGCGGGAGACGCGTTGCAGCGAGAGATTCCCGCGCAGGAGAGGAAGACTGGACAAAGCGGAAGAAGCAGAATAAGACGAGCAAAGCAGAAGCAGAGGAGCAGAAGAGCGTAAGACCGAGAGCCGAACGAGTAGAAGCGGGGTTGCAAAGAAGAAAGTGATTAGCGAGTTGATCGTGCATATCCGAAGATAGCGAGGAAGGAGATAGAGAACAGAAAGATCGGGAGAATAGAACTACGGAAGCGCAGAGAGACAAAGATCGAAAGAAATAGAGCGAAAGAGAAAGAAAGAGAAAAAGCAAGAATCGGAAAAAAAAAGCTCGGCAGAAAACCCCGCGCTCATACATATATATTTCAGTGTGTTCAAAAAACGAGTGTACCTAAGTGCAATATTAATTAAACCTAAACGATAATAAGAAGCAACCACAACTACCATCGACGATATCGGTAACGACGAGCGGTGATCGATAATCGAATAGAATTCCTTTTAAAGAGTTAAAACGCTAGAGTCGCATTTCGAGGAGGAGTCATCGACGGACGCGACGCAGCGGCTTAAAAGAAGAAGACGATCGGAGGAAGTAGGCAGATGCAGAAACGGAGTGACGGAAATCCCGGAAAGAAACGCTCTCGTCCCGCTTAAAAGAATTCACACGGACTCACCGATTCAAGCCAACGCGCGCGACAGCAGACACCAACTTTTCGAGCCTGTTCGAGCGCGTTCGAGCACACGCACACATACGCACGCACACACAACACGCACGCACATCCAACATAACGGGGCTAAAATACTCAGGGCAAAACGGGACGAGCAGTAATCATCCGCGAGTGTGATTTCTCACCCCGAAGAGGAGTGGAAGCCTTTCCGACCGATAAACGATTCGCGTCCGCGTGGACTATCCTTCTCGTTTACACCGTCCGGGCTGGGCAATCCTGAATTTTAACCTGAACTTAAGTGTACGCTAGAATTTAAGTTAGATAGACGAAGGAAAATAGACCGTTCTCCTATTTGCTAGAGAACGTTCGCTCGCGCGCGCAACAACTCACGCAAAGCACACATATAAAGCTCACACCAACACATACATTTATTACACATACACACGGTCATATGACGCACAGAGGAGGGGGAGAAAAATAACAAGAAAGAAGAGGATCATCAACTCAACTGCGAAACGCGAACGAATGCATACGTACGCGATATAACAGCCACCTGCGTACATAAGAAGACATCACGATAAAGGACGCATTACGGACGTACAATCACCGATCGGCGGTGTTCTCGCGAGAGGCATCGCAACCAACAGCGACAGCAACTTAGGGAAGGCGCGATAGAGAAGAAGAGATCTGGGAGAGGACCCGGAAGAGGGAGTGGAGGAATCATAAGAGGAAGTTTCATGAGCCAGGCGGTAGGTAGCAGGGCTGGGAAGTCGCAGCAGGTGGCGAGTAACTGACGTTGCCCGCCGCCCACGTCGAAGCTCGGCACGGTGCAAGGATCGTTATCGTTACAACGATCCCGAGGCTGAAAACAGCGGCCGAGCGAGGAGAAAGGTAGGAAGGAACGGCGGCGAGCGCAGAGGTGTGCCGGCCGTCGAGCTGCTTACCGGAAGGGGTGCGAAAAAGCGGGCAAGCTGCGCCGGAAGGGGGTAGCCCGGGCTTCTCGCGAAGGCCTCAAAATTTCGGACGCGACGGCGGCCCTGGACCTGCGTGCCCAGACGCAAGCCCAACCAGACTT